CAGAACTTTCCAGGTAAGTTAGGCAGAGAGCAGGAGGCCCCCGCTGAGATAGGGAGTCTTTCCATATAGCGCCGAGCCCCTTAGAGCTATCCAGACATGGAAGACTACAACCTTAGCAGCTGGATCCCCTAACATCTCCCCCTGTTTTGTTTTACAATGGAGAAGTGTCATCACAAGCTTTAAGAGCCAACTCATCTATCTTGGGATAATCCAAAGTTTGATAATTGACCATGAACTGCTTGGTAATAATTTTTGCAGTGGTGCTAATTTATCGGTGAAGAAATTGTATAAAAGAGGGAGATAGCATCAAAATGACACATAGCATGATCAGGGGGCTAACAAAGGGTAGGAGCCATGAAAACACGGGGTTACTAATCCAACCTAATTGTTCGGTGAGTTGAAATCTTGAAAATAGATTGTTACAAGTTTTTTTAGAGCATTAACATTGGTCTCAACAACATTTGATTCATTTACAAAAAAACAGCATTCCTCTCCCAATACTACACACGTCCCTCCATGTTCAGCACTTATTAAGTCTAGTGCTCTTCTGTTTTGGAGTACAACCCCGGCAAGAGAGTTCATTTGTTGTTAGAGCAACTCAAGGCTGTCAGTCATGGATGCCATTGCCTGGTCTAGCTTGTCTCGAAAGTCTCCTGCCAGGTGATGGGTTTGTACAGTAGCAGCAGTCGTATCGCCTCCGGCACCCAGGGGGAAGACGAATCCGAGTCCCACCAGCACGGGGATGAAAATTTCTCTCCACTGGTGGCTGTGAAGGAGTAGGGCAGCCTCTTCTTCCTCGAATAGGTACACCTGGGGAGTAATCATTACAGGTACACAAAAGGTGGACAAAGAGGAGTTAACACAGTGTTGGGCTTTTCATTTGCACCATAGAAAAAGAGGAAGGGCAACGCATGGTGTCCTGGAGAGAGTAATGTTAGTGAGGCATTTGTAATGAGTAGGCTTATTCTTGCTGGAAATGCAAACTGGATAGTTAGCCAGTTGTTCGAATAAGGGAATATCCATCAGATGAGAGATGGTGAAATCTTTTTTTGTTTCTGGGTAAAGAAGGGTGGTATTAACTGGTACTGCTGTCAGTAAAGGTCTATTGCTAGATGCACAAAAGAAGCATTGGGGTGGGTGGTGAAGGGAAGAAAGTTAGCAACATATTGAATGTATTGGCTCCAAGACATAGTTGATCTTGTCTGGTCCTCTGTTTTTCCTGTAGAATAATATTGTGATGAGTTAGCATGGGTTTAGCTGCAGGTACAAGCTGTTGAGAGATATGAAAGTCAGCTATAGGGTAGCTAGAGAATGCACCTGGGTAGAACTTTCCCATTAGTCCCATGGATCTGCAGCATATATTAGGGAATAGTCATGGTTCCCATAGAGATACTTATTATCCTTTAGGTAGATGGGTCTTTCCTGTCCTGTTATACCTTGATATCCCCCAGTTAATCCTAGTTCCAACCTACAGGGATTGAAATAGCGGCAGCCCCCATAGGTATCAACTATCTTGAGGCATGATCATCTGTCTGTTGGAAAGGAAAGCACACATATTCGTTAGTTTTGTATCTGCTAGCATTTGGGTATATTATGATTTCTATGGGGTTTTGACAGCCCACTAGGGGGCAGTCTGTGGTTCTGATTATTTGATATTTTTCCTTGAAATGTTTCCCTGACATAAAATCTCCAGAACATAGTATTGGGGGAGGTGGGGCTGGCCGAAGGGTCCTGAGGCCATTGTGGCTGAGTATCCTGGGAACATTAACTCCCATTATCTCTGAGATTACAGAGCTGTTCAACAGCTGTGGGGCGTGGCACCACAGATGGTGGTGCTGGTGGTGAAAGGGGAGGGAGATTTATCTGGGGATCTTCGTAAGTTTTTGAAGTCTAAGTTTTAACATCTGGGTCTGTTAAATCAATCCATGAGGATACGTGGGGGGAAGAAGGGGGTAAAGGTTATTTTTGCTGGTGGGTGGATTTTGTCTGACTTGGTCAATTTTTATTTTGGGGGGCTGTTGAATCTGTTACCAGGCAATCTTCAGGATTTTTTTCTTTATTTTTGGGGGGCTGTCAAATCTGCTGTTGGGCAATCTTTAGGGTATTTTTTATTTTCTGAACCTTCCCCTTTATTATCCCCTGGTGCTAGTAAGTTCTCCTCAGCCTTAGGTGGGCTTCCTAAGCATTGTTGGATGGCAGCTATTATAGGGAGGAAGGAAAAGGGCAAATGGTGCCTTTCTTGGATTTCCTTTTTATGAGCCAGATAGGCAACATTGGTCCAGACCTCTGGGTCAGAAATGTCTGCCAACAGGATCCAGGGTACGAATTAAAATACTTCATTCCAAAAATTTGAGCCTTTCTTTTGGGAAATCTTAAGTCCTCTTGATTTAAGTAGGGCTCTACAAGAGTGAATTTGGAGGGTTTTTTTGGGGAGAAGCTGAATTCCCCGTTATAAAAAAGAAAGGAAGTGTTGTCAGTGGCATTCAACGTTCCCGAAGCAGCTTGCCACCAGAGGATTGAGACGTTTTGACAGACACAAGGCTAGCCACAGATTTAAGAGACTGGCAACCATCCTTGTGACTTTTCACTGGTTGCTGCATTACCAGATTTTTATGATAGTTGTGAAGGTTGTTGCCTACACCCACTTGGGCTGTTGGGGTCCAGAAAAAGGGCAGGGGGCCTTCGGCCAATATCGGGAAGTTGCCCTGACCAAGAGGCTTCAGTTGCCCACAAACTGTATCCAGACCCTCACAAAGGCAGTAACGAAAAGTAAAGCAAAGAGAGCGATTCCCCCCCTCCTCCTTTTACTCACGTGGCAGGTCAATTTAAGTTCCCACCAGGAACCCTGTGGGGGCGTGGAGGACTACAGGAGAAAGTTCTCCACATGGGGTGGTCCCTCCACATGGTGTTAGCCCCTTCGCCAAAAAAAAGTTTACGGAAAAAAATGCTTTTAAAATCTTTTTTCTATTTGTCTATGGTGGAAGCTGCCTTAAATTCTTTAAGTGCTCCATGGCCACCCGCTGCTTTAAATCCTTTGTTTTTGTTTACATTATGGGGCACTTGGAGCTTGAGTGCCTTCTTTTCACAGGCAGGTCAGTTTAAATTCTCACCTAACTGGTTTAGCTTCAGCTTGAGTGCCCCGAGGGCGAGATAACAAAACAGATTAAGGAAGCTTGTTATTTTAGAAGTTTAATTCAAAGCTTGTGTGAAAATTCCTTAGAACTTTGGGGATTTTATGTTTCTATGGGTGTTTTTCAAGATAGAAAAGGAAAGGGGGGTGAAACACCGATTCCTAGTGGAACATGCCCGGGATTGAAAACCTCAGGGGAATTCCACCTAGTCCACAGTGCAAGCCTGTCTGCAAATTTAAGAGATCCTCAACTGGCTCTAAGAGCAATTAACTGGTTGTTGCATTACCGGTTTTTTTCATTAGAAAGATGTATAGATACAGGGTCTTGTCTACACCTGGGTGGACAGTTGGGGTCTGTTAAGAGGGCTAAGAGCCTTTGGCTAACATCAGGGGTTAGCCCTGATCAGAAAGCTTCAATTGCTCCTTCATCTTTAACCGTCCCATGCGAAGACTCAGATCCAAAATAAAAGGAGGAAAAGGAGGAGAGACTGCCAATCCTCAACGGTGGGATGGCTAAGGCAAAGCTGTTGCTACCCTCTTGGAGAAAGGGGGTACTCACAAACTCCATGTGTTCCAGGAGCCTCACATTCGGGTGCCAGCTGTGGGTTCCTCCCTTCCCTCGTGGGCCGTTGGCCACTGGTCTGCGAGGACGAAGGGAGCAGAAGCAACAAACGGGTTCAGGACAGCCAGTGAGCATGATGGAAGAAGACATTCCAGGGAGGCAGATTCAGTGATACAGCTCCAGATTCAGTGATACAGCTCCGTTTATTGAGTGGGGGTTAGGGAAAATATAGTGTGGAGGCAGCAGCCAAAGCTTCAGCTGTTAGGTACTCATAGTGTGCTTTATTTACATGTGGTAGAGGATCCTATCATCCAACTATAGGGAAATGCCTAATTATCATAGAAAAAACCTGGGGGTAGTTTTATTGCAGGTAACTACGCAAAGGTCATGTTCCAAATATGGTCAGGCATCCGTGCATGGAGGCACTTTCCAGGTAAGTCAGGCAGAGAGCAGGAGGCCCCCGCTGAGAAAGGGGGTCCTTCTATACAGTGCCAAGCCCCTTAGAGCTATCTGGACGTGGAGGACTACAACCTTAGCAGCAGAGTCCCCCAACATTTGATGAAACCCCCATAGGGAATTGCCTGTGTTTTGTGTAATAAATAATTAAAAAGTCCACTCCTCCTTCAAAACCCTAAAGACCCCAAACTACATCTTTTAAGACTTAAAGTACAGGTTTTGTATGCTACGAATTAGTTGTGACAATTGAACGGAGGTTCTTAACCTCATCACGCTTCAGCATCCTCCAAAATGGAGAAAAATCTTTCTTTTTATTAAAAAAACATTGTGTGCTGGATAATGAACATGAAAGAACTGAGCTATGCCCTTCCTTTAAAACATTTTTTTAGAAATGGTCTTCCTAAATTACCCAGGCTGGTCCCCAACTCATAATTCTATCTCAGCTGCCCAGGTACCTGTGATAACAGACTCTTGTTCAGTGCACCTGGCCCCAAAACACATTCGTAATAAGAAAGTAAGAGTGCATGGTATATTTAAGCCATCTGACAGCTTGACAGTAATATACAAACAAAATATCCTGTTAAATCTGAGTTAGAATTCTGTTTTCATTCTGTTATAATTGCAAATGTAAATATTTGAAAAGGTTAAAAATATGCACCTTTAAATTCTTAGAAAGTAACAGTCTTGATAGTCATAGCTTGGCCATGATTAAATATAGTGTGTATATTGCATAATTCTTGCTCATTTTGGGTTATTGTCTACTGAAGGAAAATGAATAATTGCTATAACAGTGAGTTTACTTGATTTTTGTTTTCTATTAAGTAATTTCTACCTATAATTTTATTTTTTTAGAATTACAAGACGAACATTTAAAAGAATTAAATGAAAGGAAGCATCATTTGGTATCAGAACTTGAAGATACTAAAATATCGTTACTGATAAGTATGGTATGATTTAAAAACTGACTAGTTTATAGTATGTCTTACATAATCAATCAGTAGATATTTATTGGATACTACAAACATATATAAGGACCCAGAAATTCAAACAGAGAAGAAGTAATCATACTCTAAAAAAGATGTCTTTACTTAGACTTATTGGATAAAAGCATTTAAGCATTAATAGAATGATGTAGGCTAATGAATTGTTACAACAATTATAAGAGCTGAGAACTGTGTGGGATGAACTGACTAGGAAAACTCCATGGAGGAACTGGTACTATAGAGAATGGAGACCTGAAATAAGGATAGTGTGAGTTATTCTAGAATACCTAAGAGGGATGCAAGGAAAGAGGAAGTATGGAGGGCATGAAGGAAAGAAAATTTACAGAAGCAGATTGCATAAATTTTTATAAAATTTTAGGCTTTTGTATCATTGTTTCTGTTTTGCACTTTATTTCAGATCACTGAAAAGGCTTTAAAAGAAGATTTGCAGATAGTAACAGAAATGATTCATCAGCTCCTTGAAGAAAAAGAAACCCAGCTGAAAGAATTTAACAATGCTAAAGCTGTTCATTCATTTGTGATTTCTGAATTTAAAACCACTGTCTCCACCTTGGAGGAATTATTGAGAAGAGAACATCAAAGGTGAAATTCTTCTAATTTATATAAATAAGTAAATTAAACCAATTTACTTTTGATATTCAGTACCATGTCAAAGCAGGTATTCTCTCAAAGTTTCCATGAATGCTTTGCCCTGGAGTCTAGACAAACTTTTAAGTGCTGATGCAGTGACATGACATACTAAATTGATACAGAAGATTATTGTTGGCTTCCTAAGAACAATTTTCAGGCTGTAGAATTTCTTTTACTTAGGTCTATAAGCTTTTAAAAGTTAACAACAATCTTGGGGCATAGTAAATATTTCTATGGGATAAATTATTCCTTTACTTTTACCTTAAATAGTATTTTGTTTAAAATCTGAGTATAAATAACTGACTCATTTTCTTCCCTTCATGCCTTTTTCATATAAAAGTATGATGAAGCCTAGTCAATTATTTTTGACCTTTTACCACTGTGGTTAAGTTTGGCAGGGCAAAGGAGAGGAATAGATTTCTCCCTGGGTCTGCTGATTTCTCTCCACTGTTGTATGTAGTGATGGAAGAGAAGTAGGTTTTCTAATTTCTCTAATCATATATTTTGGATTGAACTATCAAGGTAGTTTTCAAATATTAAAATTGTGAATTATCATAGATTCACCTGTTCTCATTTCGTTGGTTTAAAATTCATTATTATATTCATTCATTCATTCATTCATTCATTTGTGTGTGTGTGTGTGTGTGTGTGTGTGTGTGTGTACTTGCATGTACTTGTGTGTGGAGGTCAGAGGACAAATTGCAGGAGCTGATTCTCTCCTGGGAATTGAACTCAGGTTGTCAGGCTTGGTAACAAGAACTCTACCCTCACGAGTCATCTCACTGGCTTATCAATTGTCTTAGTTTTTTTAAAACTTATTTTGAGTTTTATGTGTATGAGTGTTTTGCCTGAATGTATGTAAGTGTACCCACATCCTACAATGCCTTCAGGGACCAGAAAAGGGTATTAGATCCCTTGGAACTGGAGTTATGGACAGTGGTTAACCTCCATGGGATTGCTGGCATCCAAACCCAGGTCCTCTGCAAGAACAAGCAGTGTTCTTAACCACTGAGCAATCTTTCCTGCCCTTACCTTAGTTTTTTAGCTCAGGAAAAAAAATCAGAGAAGCCAATAAAACGATACAGTGTTATTTTGTTTGTACTGCTTTAAAAGAAGAATTTGGTATAATAGTAATTACATACTCATTAATCATCAATTTGATTACCATCAATTGTTAAGCTAATAGAGATAAAGCCTTAAGGTTTTAGGTAGATATATTACACAATTATGTATTTATCATAATCTCTTGTTTTAAAATGCTTATACACAATACTCAACAACTGATTAATAATTGAGTGAATCCATGTTAAGATACTGTTATAGTTTGTTTCTCCATTACTGTGACCAAAACACTCTGTCTTACATCTCTGGGGTCACAGTTCATCAGGGAGCCCAAGGTAGGAACTTGAAGGAGGAACCTGAAGGCAGGAGCTGAAGCACAGGTCATGGAGGAACACTGCTTACTGGCTTGCTTCCCTGGACCATGCTTCCTTATGCAACACAGGCCCACCTGCCCAGTGGTGGCACCACCCACAGTGGGCTGGACCCTGCCACATCACTCAACAGTCAAGAAGATGCCCCACAGGCATGACCATAGGCCAGTGCAGTGGAGGCAATTTCACAACTGAGCTCCCTCAACCCAGGTGTGTCAACATGACACTAAAGCTATCCAGAACACCTGGCCCTTTTTCAACTTGCCATACAAACACACCACTATTAAATCATAACCTTTCCAGTTCCTTCCCCCATGATGTTATTCTCACAACATAAGACAGTACAACCTTAAAAGCCCCACAATCCCTAAAATATCCAACACTTAAAAGTCCATAGTCTCTTTTAAAAGTCTCTTAACTGTGGGATTCTGTAAAATCCAAAACAAGTATTGTTTTATTTCAAAAGGAAGAGTCAAGCACATCTAAACAAAACCTAAATCCAGCCAAGTAGCTCAAGGTTGGACATCTGGGATTCGCTCATGATCTTCTGTCCTCCAAAGGGTTTTGGCAGCTCCACTTCACTGACTCTGCTGTCCACAGCACACACAGCTCATCTCACAGACCCAGGCCAGTTCCATTCCATACCTACTGCTGTCCTTGGTGGCCATCCCACGGTCCCAGGATCTCCAAAAGCCTGGGGTCTCCACTGAAACTGAGGCTGTACCCTCACCAATGACCAGCTACAGCCTCTAGGGTGCAATGCCTCGGATTCTTTCCATGACCCCTTCACTCCTGCGGTCTTCACTGCAACTGAGGCTGCACTTTCACATTGGCCTTTCCTGCCCTCTCAGGGTGCCAATCCTCAGCTGCTCTCTATGACCCCTTTGTACTTTCCACACCAGATCCATGCAGGAGACTCTTACACATTACCAAGTCCTGCTTCCAGCTTGAAATGGAGGCTTGAGTCCCCTCGGTAAAATAGCTTCTGTGCCCTGACCCTGAGGAAATACTACCCAGAAGATTTCACCATTGTGATGCTGGTCTCTTGTTACTTACAGCTGATTTTTCAGCCCCAGCTAACCAGCACCAATAGTCCCAGAAAAGCAAAGGTTTTACTTCAGGTTCTGGTCTCTTCTTAATCACAGCTGATTCTTCAGCCCCAGCCAACCAGAATCCACAGATTCTCAATTCAAAATATTGCAAAAACAGCCCTGATAGTCTCTGCTTTCCATTGAAGCTTCACAATCCAGGCACCCATTGTCCACCACTCTTTCAGTATAACTGTTTCAAATTCCACTCAGTGGCTTTTCCAGCCCAAATTTCCTAACACTTCCACAATCCTCCAACATCGGGTCTGTCACAGAAGTGTCCTACTCTCTGGTACAAACTTCTGTCCTAGTTTGTTTCTCCATTGCTGTGACAAAACACTCTGACCAATACTAACTTGCAGAGGAAAGGGTATATTTTGTCTTACATCTCTCGGTCACAGTTCATCAGGGAGCCCAAGGTAGGAACTTGATGCAGGAACCTGGAGGCTGGAGCTGAACATAGGCCATGGAAGAACACTGCTTACTGGCTTGCTTCCCTGGCCCCTGCTCAGCCTTCTTCCTTATGCAACACAGGCCCACCTGTGTTGCCCAGGTGGCCAGGGGTGGCACCACCAACAGTGGGCTGGGCCCTCCCACATCACTCAACACTCAAGAAGATGTCCAACAGACATGGCCCCAGACAGGTCCAATGCAGGAAATTCCCCAATTGAGGTTCCCTCAACCCAGGTGTGTCAAGTTAACACTAAAACTATCCAGCACAGATACATAGTTGATACTTTGTGACATTTTAATTATTACATCAATTCTGACTAAAATATTTTGTATTTTAAAATGACATCCCTTTCAAGATTGGGACAGAATAAAGGGCAACTGAAAATAGTTACCATGGAGCTTCAGAAGAGATCAAGTGAACTGGGTAAGATTTAGAGAATAAAATGTATACTTTTACAATATTAGCTAATTATAAATCATAATTATAGAATATTTAAATTTTAAGAAAACAGTTTAATTTCCTTAAAAAATTTATTTCATTTTATGTAAGTGTATTGTCTGTATGTGTGTCAATGCACCTGTGTTGTGCAATGCCTGCAAAAGTCAAAAGAAGTCACTAGATTCCACTGGAACTGGAGTTACAGACAGTTGTTAGCTGCCATGTGGGTACTGAGAATTGAACCTGGTCCTCTGCAAAATCAGCCAGTGCTCTTAACTCCTAAGCTATCTCTCCTGCTTCACAGTTTAATTTCTTTATTGTAGTTTATAGATGTCTACAAACCCAAGATGTTTTTACTCTAGTTTAGGATTCAAAAGCCGGTATAATCCTTAGTGAAAAGTGTTATATTTTAATTGAAAAAAAATGGTTTTGAGAAAGGATATTGCTTTGTAGCTCAGGTTGGTCATGATGTCTCGATTTATTTGCCTCAACCTTCTGAGTGTTGGGAATACATGTATGTACCCCTATGTCTGGACTGATTTATTTACTTGTTTACTTGCATTTTTGAGACATGGATTTTTTCTATGTCGCTCTGACCAACACAAAAACGTCCAAGAACAAAAGAGAAGTCCTATAAATTTATGAATTTATTTCCATTTTTTTTGAGACAGGGTCTCCCTGTAGCCCCAGCTGGCCTAGACCTCAATATGCAGACCGGTCTGGCCTCAATCTCACAGAGATCTACCTGCCTCTGCTTCCTAAGTGCTAGGATTAAAGGTGTGCACCACCATGCCCGGCTACCCGGCTAATTTTGTTTATTTATGACCATGTAACTAGCTAATTATCATAATGTATGCTTCATGTTTATTAGCCTGAATATCTGCAAATGTAGACACATGCCAAGAAAAAATCTTTTCCTATTTCAATAAAAATTATTTTAATTGGCTAAAATTTCCAAACTGATAAGTATTTATCTAGATTATCTTCATAGTTTTGTGTAATTTCATTAGCTTGAATACTTGTACAAGTAAAATAATTGTAAGTCATATGGTATAGTCTTTAAAGTGTTTGTTTAACAGTAAGTAGTTAAGCTGGTTAAATTCTTTATTTTTTAAAAAATATTCTTTTCATTTTGTGTGTATGAGTGCACTGCCTGCAGGTTTTTGAGTGAACCTGTGTTGTGCAATGCCTGATATCAGAAGAGGGTGTTGAATCCCCTGAAACTGGAGTTACGTACTGGTGTAAGCCACCATGTGGATACTGGGAATCGAACTTGGGTCTTCTGCAAAAGCAGTCAGTCCTCTTAACCACTGAACCATCTCTCTAGCCCCAGTTAAATTCTTTTTTTAAAAAAAAAGTTTTTGTAGGCATATATTAATTGTACATAATAATGAGCTTCATCATGGCATTCTCACAAACATACATAATGTTTTTGTTCATTCACCCCCATTACCCTTTCTTGTGCCCCTCTCATTCCTTATAATCCTCTCCCTATTCCTAACTACTTTCATATCTTTCATATGCATGTGCATGAGTATGTGACTAGAGTTTCATTAAGTGTATTTGTAGAACTGTGGGTAAGACTTTGTTTACAAGAGCCTGAACACCTTACCAGTGGCTACACCACTGCAGAAAATGTCTCTTAAATTATATGATTTTCCTTTTGCAATACTTAATGCCCTACTTATAAAAATGCTTGATCACTCAAAGTTGTACTGTCCAAATTAAACAATTTTATTCTTAGTTTTGCTTTTTATTGTCATGATTATAAAACTTTATAGCTAAAAAAATTCCTTATCTAATTTTAATAATAATTTCAGAACATAAATCTCCATTTTAAAATCATTATACCTACTTTCTTTAAAAAATTAATGTTCTATAGTAACTAAGGAATAATTTTAGTCCTTGAAACGTCTTTAGTGGTTATCTGAAACAATTCAGTTTACCTTTAAAATTAAGTGACTGATATTTATCATACTGTAAATTCTTTTTTTCCATGTGATTTTCTCAGAGTATTGTTGAGAAGTTTGAATAAAGAATTTGAGATTTGTGAGGCAGTATTATGTGTGCATTTCAGCATTGTCTTAGGTATTGTGGGAACACATGAAGTAAAACTCTCTGATCTTGAGAAATCTTCAATTATTATGAGAGAAAGGTTGAATATGTAAAACCATTAGAGTAATGGTGTACAGAATGACGGGGTAAGCAAGGATTGCCTTATAGTAAGGAAAGAAAATATGAGCTTCTATTTTGTTTCAGTTATGTATATTCTGAATATACATAACATTTCTATTATAGCTTTGCATAAAATTTAAATATATATTTGTACTTAACATACTTTTATATTTGAGGTAAATGTTCAGATTTCTTATTGAGAGAGCTATGTTAATGTTGATACCAATAGGATGCCAAAGAGTTAGGAAAGACTATGGAAGAAGTAGATATTAAGAGCAGACTTTTAAGGTATAGAGAAAATTTGGATAGATGTAGAGGATGATGAAATTTTAAAAACCATATGTGTGGGAGTGCAGAACTAACAATTACAAAAGGATATTTTCTTCTTGAGTTAATAATATAGTCCTCAAAACCATAAATGTTTCAGGATCTTTATCTTTCTTTTTATTTTTGCCTTACTTTTTTTTAAAAATTTTGAGACAAGGTCTCACTTAGTAGCCCAGACTTTCCTGGAACTTATTGTTGTAGCCCAGGCTGGCCTCAAACTTGCATCAGTCCTCCTGTCTCAACTTCCCAAGCCCAGGGATTGCAATAATAACTACTGTACCTGGCTATATCTTGTCCTTCACTTCTAATTAGTTATCCAGTGCTGCTCCATTTTTCTGACGATAGTGTGTCTTCTTTAGCTCTGAACAACTTTCTTATTTTCCAGTTTATAAGTGTTATTATTCTCTCAGGAAGTCACAGTGGATAGCTCAGGACTAATCCGTCATCTTTTTCAACTCTTAAAGCTTTTCTCTCTTTTTTTTGGTAATCTTCAAAATCAAAAATTTGGGGATTTTTTTTTTTTTTTACTTTCTCTCACTAATTAGAATTTTAGCTATGTGTACCTTGCTATTTTTAAAACCTCATTTGCCAAATTTTAAATGTCCTAGAGCTCTAGGTAATCTACTTCAGGGACAAAGTATCTGACTGAAACATATTATAGATAACAATATATTTACTTTTGTTTTCTGTTTCAACTTTTTTTAATTTTATTGTGTGTGTATGAGTGTATTGCCTGCATCTGTATAAGAGCACCCATGACATGCAATAACTACTGAGGTCAGAAGAAGGCATCAGATCCCCTGGAAATGGAGTTACAGATGGTTGTTAGCCTCCATGTAGGTGCTGGGAATTGAACCCACAGGAGCAGCCAGAATTCTTAATCAGTTAGCCATCTCTCCAGCCCCACAAGTGGTTATTTAAATGAGTTAAACCCTGAGAAATTTTTAGTAATTCTATTATATTTCCAGTAATTAAAACCTTTAACAATGAGCAAAAAAAATTTTTTTTCACACAATTTAGGTTACAGCTGGAAATTAGAGGAGTCTGTTAGAAATTAAAGAAAAAGGTGGGGGAGTTGGGCTGAAAATAGTTTAAAATTCATCAGCATAACATTGAATTAATGGAAATTAAAGATAGACATTGTAAAGTACTATTATTTTGGGTAGGAAGAAGGAAAGGGTATACTAAAAAAAGATTTAAAAAAGGAGTTAGAGTTAGAGAGCAAGCAGGAAATAGTACAAGGTCTTGGTAATCAAAAGGAAAATGGTAGCCAGTGCTTAATAATATCAGATACTACCAAGCTCCATAATGAATAAGTCTGAAAATGTCATCACAAAATACTTATTGTTGATCTTTGTGATCATAATTTTATCACTATCATGAGATAGGCATTAATATTGTGTGGAGTTATGAAAGACATGTATAGTTTAGCAAGAATAAGAAAAACAAAATGATAAATTGGGCAATAGTTTAAAAGCCAGTAAGGTTAATCAGCTATTTTTTTTTTATTCAAAGGGGTTGTTAGGTGGGACAGGAAAAATTAAAGATTTCTTTACACAGACTTGGTATATTTTAGAGCAGCTGAAACCTCAGAAGAGGTGGGGATATTGAAATCCAAAGTACAAAGATCAGAATTAGCTTGAGAAAAGATCAGTTCTTCAAAATTTGTAGTGAAGATGACAAAACCAGATTCAGGTAGCGATCAGTTGAAAGTCAGAATCCACACTGACCCCACTCCTAATATATTTTATGTAGATTAGCTGCTTATTTTGTTTTATGAGTTTCGAACTCACATGATTATGGAACTAACCTAGAAACATTACTATTGGTATAGTAGTGTTCGGTGATTTGGACTCCTTCAGTGCTTCCTCTGTTCATTAATCTATCTCCTGATTTTTCCCTTTCAAATAGCATTGTAGTTTTTTAATTTTTTTAATAATTTTTTTGAATTTTTGTGTATTTCATACAGAACATGTTAATCTTATTCATCTTTATACACCTTCTCCATTGGCACCCTCCCATAATAACCCCCTAGCCTGGAATTCATATGTTCTGTCACTTGTGTTAAGGCCTATCTTGTCAAGTTAGTGTTCCCAGATGACCCTCAGTGCAAGTCCATCTACTGGGTTCTAGTCAGCCTTTATCTAGAATCCCTCCATTTAAGACAGGCTCTTCCTCTCCCAGCAGTAATCAATTGCCAATAATTCTTAGACTAAGATTGGAACCTGATGCCTAGCAAATGTCATTATTCTTATTTATTCTCTTTCCTTTTAAATCCAGCTATTAACACACATATATTCTTTTGCTTATGTTAGAAGAGATGACCAAACTTAAAAATGACAAAAAAGTGGAAATTGAAGAATTGAAAAAACTCTTCGTAAGTATATATTTCTTATTAATATGTAACAATTATTTAAAAAAATAATATTGAAATTACTGACCTGTGCTTTCAGACTATAAAGTCGTACTATATTTTTTTTGCTAAAATATAAAATCTTTGTTTTCTTTTGAGTAAACTACAATCTTTATCAATTTTATAGATTTTAGTAACAATCTTGGTCAGGTTCCTTATATTATTCAAACATGCTGGTAGTACATTTAAAATAAAATATACATATTATACAGCTAAGTTTTAGTCTTTTGAATGTTATTCCACAAAGATCTGATTTTGAAAAAGATATACATAATATATATTTAGAACCTATGTTTAATGTTTAGGTAGAATAGTGATTAGTGAATTTATAGGTGCTATAAGTTCTATGACAGAACTTTGTTTTATTTATGACAGTGTTGGAAATACCCAGGGTCTTGCATATGCTAGGTTTGTGTTTTACCACAGAGCTAGACCACTACCTTGACATCATGGGCTTCATATGATCTTTGTTGATTCTTCCCATGCCTCTCCCTTTACCCAGCATTTATTTTCTCTTTTTAAAAATATCTTATTTTCATTTTGTGTATAAGTTTATTACCTGCATGTATATAAATGCACCTGTGTTGAGCATAGACTGCGGAGGACAGAGACATTGAATCTCCTGGACCTGCACTTATGGACAGTTGTTAGCCATCACGTGGGTGATGGAAATCAAACCCAGATCCTCTGTAAGAGCAGTCAGTGCTGCTACCCACTGAACCATCTCTCCAGCCCCTATTTTCTCCTTTACTGTTTGTCTTATAGCTATTAGTATATATTAATTAATACAGATTAATATGTCTCACTGTGATTTCTTTAATAATATTTTATTTATTATTTTCATTTTGTGTGTATGAGTGTATTGCCTGCATGCATGTAAGTGCATCTGTATCATGCGATGCCTATGGAAGTGAGAAGAAAGTGTCTAATCCCTGAAACTGGAGTTATGGATGGTTATTAGCCACCATGTGGCTGATGGGAATCCAACCTGAGACCTCTGCAAAAGCAGCCAGTGCTCTTAACCGCTGAGCCACCTCTCCAGTCTCCTCACCGTGGCATTTCTATATATGCATATGTTGTACAGGGATCACTTCTACCCTTCCTTAAAATATTTAATTTTGGGTGCTGAAGAGATGGCTCAGCGTTAAAAGCACTTACTGTCACATGTGACCTTAGAACACCCCCCCAGTTCCTTTTCTCAACACCTGTTATTCTCAGCTCATAGTCTCCTGTCTAGAATCATAGTATGTGCACATGCTTATATCCTCTTATTTGCATACATACAAACAATATTCTGCATATGAGAGAGCACATGGGGAGTTTCTTTTCTGGTTCTGTTTGGTGTTCTATAGACCTCTTATATCTGGATGGGCATCTCGTCTCTAGGGTTGGGAATGATTTTATTAAAAATATTCTATATGCCTCCAGTATGGTGTTCTCTTTCTTCTATGCCCATAATGAATGGTTAGTTATTTTCACTGTGTCCCAAAGGTCTCCCATGTTCTGTTCATATACAGATTTAAGTTTACCTTTACCGATTGACACAAATTCCTTTGCTCTGTATTCCAGCACTGACACTATTTTCCACATGATCCATTCTACTCGTGAAACTTTTCACTGAGTCTTTCATTTTCGTTATTGAGTTTCATTTCCAGCATTTTGGCAATCCTATTTTATTATTTTTTTAATTGCACTTCTTAAATTTCATACAACATTTACCACTCAATCCAGACACCCCTTCTCCATCCATGGCTTTCCCTATCCCCCCACTGAGCCCTACTCACTCTGCCATACATGCTGAGTCCTATTTACTCAGGTGTTTATACCCAAGTGTCCTTCAGTGTAAATGCGTCCACTGGAGTCTAGTCAGCCCATCCAGTGGTCGTATGTAAGTCAAACTCTCTCTCACTGAGCAGCAATCAATCTCAAATAGGTCTCAATCTTGTCCTGGCCTGCTGCCTATTTTTTACCTCCCCTTTGGAACCTTGTTTCATTGAGCTGACATGGGTAGGTGATACATCTGCAGTCAAATCTTGACAACTAAGGCCCATGGAACATAGTGGAATAAGGGGTAGAGAGAAGGCTAATGCACTTCTCAGCTCTCACCAGTGAGGCTCCCTTGTACATCAGAAGGTGATGCACACAGAAGGCAATTCTATTTTCATATCTTTGATTAATTGCCTCATTTTATTCAACTCTTTGTTTTGTTCCCTAGAAGAATTTTTAAATCTTCTTTGAGTTGTTTGAACATTGTTGCAATAATTCTTTTAAATTCTTTGCCTGGGAGTTCTTCCAGGGCATTCTCATTAAGGGTCATTGCTATGGGATTAATAATTGGGGAGGAAGCATTTTGTTGTAGTTTTTGTATTTTGTTTTTCCATTGAAACTTGCACAACTGAAGTAGTTTGTGATTAATTCATTAATTTTTGTTTTGTTTTGTTTGTAAAAATCACCTTTCTTTCAATGGAGGCATGTGTAGTGTTCAGGAGAGGACTAAGTTGTAAGAGGGTTGAGATGTTTCCTTTGTGGGACTGGTATTGAGGTCTGTAGGCTCTATCCCTCATTTTTGAGAATCTGCTACTGTTTGCACGAATGGTCACTGTTCAAAGGTCACACACCCATTGCTGATCCTCATCTCCATTGCCTTCTGGTGTGATTCTCCACACCTGGATGTCTTGCCTTGAGTCAGCTCTAGCTCAAATGTAGGTTGAGAATGTGAGATCCCAGGAAAACTGGGTATGGCATCAGGAGGCCTACACAGTAGGGAAGATTGGGGCCTACCTTGCAGTACAGGGAAGCAAGATCCCAGAGGGACTGAATAGTCTCTGGGTTGGAATGAAGTGTCGCTAGTTGGAAGTGTGGAGTTGGAAGACCCAGAGGAGCCTGGTGACTTGACAGCATAGGGAAGTGAGATACTGAAGGAGCCAGGTGGCCTATGAGATATGGTGGAATGGTGTCTACCTGGAAGCTCAGGGAAGTGAGACCTGAAAGGAACCAGGGGATTTGTGGGGTGAGGTGGAGTAGGTAATCCATGTCTTTTAATTGGAGAATTAAGACAAAGGTGATTCCTGTAATTTTGTTCTTTTCCCCTATTTATATTAGGAGGGTGCTAAGTTTACTCTGCTGAACATAAGAAATTCTTTCCTAGGTCTCCTTTGTCTGCTTTTTTCATGAAATGTATTCTTTCCTGTTTCCTTGTTATTAAAACGGTTTCCTGGGGCTGGAGAGATGGCTCAGCAGTTAAGAACACTGGTGGTTCTTGCAGAAGACCTGAGTTCAAATCCCAGCACCCACATGACAACTAACAACTGTCCTTTAAGTCCAGTTCCAGGGGATCTGACGACCTCTTCTATCTTCTGCGTGCATTGCACAACATGGGTGCACTTATGTACATGCAGGCAATACACTCATACACATAAAATAAAAATAGTAAATTAAAAAATCCTTTTTACTTTTGTGTAATGTTTAAGTATCTTTTGCAGTACTGGTCAGAGGTCATGAATTGCTTTAGTTTGTGCTTGTCTTGGAAGTTTTTTTTTTTTTAATTTCTCCTATGATATTAAAAGATTATTTTGTTGGATATAATCTTCACTGGCAGTTATTTTCAGGAGTTGAATTCAATCATGTCATATTTTCCTCCATTTTGCAATATCTTCTGAAAAGTGTTCTTGTGTTATTCTGATTGATTTGCCTTTATAAGTGATGGCATTTTTCTCTTAAAGCTTTCACTGTTTCTTTTTTTCTTAAATCTTAGCATTTTAACTATAACATTTTGTCAATAGGTTCTTTCCTAATTTATTTCTGCTTTGGGTTTTAAATGTCTCTTGTGCGTAGACATCTGTCTTTTTCCTTTAAGTCTTGGAAATTATTTATTGTAATCATTGATAGGTTTTCCATGCCTTTTTCTTTTTTGTGTTTTTATTTTTAGAATCTCAGATTACCTCATGGATGTTTGCTTGTTTGTTTGTTTTGAGACAGGGTCTCCCCATACACCCAGCTAGCCTGGAATTTGGTATGAAGACCAAGCTGACCTTAATCTCACAGGGATCTGCCTGCTTCTGTTTCCCTAGTACTGGGATTAAAGTATGTGCCACCATTCCTGGCAGTCACTTACAGATTTTTAATCTTAGGTTCGGTCTTTTGATCATGTCTCAGAGGCCTTTCTAAAAAACATTCTTAAATCACACTTTGTGTGTTTGCACATAAGCGTGCGTGTGCACATACATGTCTCAACAAGTGTGAGGATGTCTGAGGACAACTTATAGGAGTTGGTTCTCACCCTCCACCATGAAGATTCCAGGTATTGAACTCAGGCTATCAAGGCTTGGTGGCAGGTACCTTTCCCTGCAAAGCCATATTGCTATCCCTTCGATTTGTTGAAAGTTGTGGTAATGCTTTTTTTTTTCTTTTTTGATGTCCAAATATAGTGTTTCCTCAACCCTGTCTTTTTTCTCATATTTTTTCCTGTTTTTATCAATGTTGGTGATACTTTCCACTGTGTTTTTCATTGATTTTCTGAGTTTTTAATTTTTAGCATTTTTGGTTTCTTTTTCCCTCAAAAATCACAATTTCCTTGTTAAATTTAACATTTGTGCTTTTGATTTTTTTTCATCTGTGTTATTGTTCAGGTCCCAAATTGATTTCCATGCTGTTTTGGTTGTTTTTATTTTATTTGATATATGAGCATATAAACATTTTATTTATTATTTTTAGTTGATTTTATGTATGCATGTGTGTGCACCCGTGCAATGGCCAGGAAGGTGAGAAGAGGGTTTCAAATGCCTTGCAACTGAAATAACAGATGATTGTTAGCTGCCGTGTGGGTTCTGGGAATGAAACCCAGGTCCTCTGTAAGAGCAGCTAGTGCTCTTAACAGCTGAGACATCTTTGAAGCCTGTAACTGGTCATATTTACAAGTGGGCTTTTGAATTTTTTTCTGGTGCCTCCACTACTAAAAATTAAAATAATATCTACTTTTTGTGTATTTGTGTATACATGTATGTGCACCTGTGTCATGAGGACATAGGACAACTTACAGGAGTAGGCTCTCTCCTACCGTATGGGTTCCAGAGATAAAACGCAGGTCAACAGATGTGATAACAAATATCTCTACCTGCTAAACCATTTCATCAGCTCATTTCAGCCATTTGGATTCAGTAATATGGCAATTATGATCTCTTGGAGGTATTATATTGCTTTGATTTTTCTTGATTCTATGTTTGTGTATTGTGATTTGTACATCTACTGATATGGATATCTCTTCTGAATTTCTTTGGGGATGCTCTAGTGAAAAACCTTTTGAGGTTTCAGTTCCCAATACCACTCAGAGAAGGGCGAAACAGACTGCTGTAACAGCTGCTGTACCAAGTTAAATCAGGTGTAGAAATACACTTAAAATGGATTAAAGTCAATACTGTACCACCCATTACTATAAAAAATAAAATGGAAAAAGTAATGTAGAATAAGTTATGGAGTTAAAGATTTTTAAAAAGTATCAATAAAAATGGTAAATAAAATAAAGGAAGGGAAGAGAGGATGGGGAAATACAGAAGGAGCATGGTTAAATAAAAGAAAGAAAAGAAAAAGAAGAATATTAAGAAGTTGTAGAGAAAAAGAGAATTAAAATCTGATTGTACAATAAAGAAAAATGTGGAAATAAAGTTTGATAAATTTAAGAAGAGGAATAGAAAATAAAAAAAATCTTTTAAAAATAGTCGGGGGGAAGGACTGGAGAGACGGCTCCACAGGTAATAGCACTGCCTGCTCTTGCAGGGGACGTGGGTTCAAATCCTAGCACCCACATGGCAGCTAACACCTGCTCATAACTCCAGTTTCAGGGGATCTAACGACCACTACTGACTCCAGGGGCATTGCATGGCATGGGCACACTTACATACATACAGGCAATGCATAACATAAAATAAAATAATAAAATATTAGCATCTTAAGCTATACTTCCTTGAATATTTGCTGTGTTGAAAGGGCTTACCATTTTCAGGGGTGGACATGCAGATATCAAAGTCATATAAAGATATAGCTTCCAGCAATTGCTATTGAAAAAAATGGAACAAAGTTGTGAAAAACCATTTGGTTGGGCATGGCAGTGTGCACCTGCAATCACTAGTCACTTGGGAGACAGAGATGGGAGGATGAAAGTTTGAGGCCATCCTGGGCAACATAAAGAGACCTTGATTTCAAAAACAGTGGAGGTGGGAAAAGAGAGGGAGGGGCAGGGAGAGAGGGGAGGTTTCTGCTTTATATGATGGGTGGTGTTGGGTGCCCATTCACTGTGATTCTTGTCCAGGGGTACTACATAATAAAATACTTTTTTAAAGTATAAATGCTAAAAGCATAATAGAAAGAAAAAAAAGAGAAGCACAAGGGACAAAAAAAAAAACCTCTCCAGGTGTATCTGATAAGAAAAATAAATTTCAAATATTTTCAACTCTAAAGTAAAATATAAAACTAAAGACAAAATGTTCAATTGGATTCTTTTTGAATTTTCTAATTTTGGAGTCTTTCAGATAGAGTAGTATGTCAGTAAATGTTGGAGTGTCTTATCTTTTCTAATGTTTAGGTTAATGCTGAATCTGGACCTGCTTGGGGTCAGATGCACAACACTGAACTGCCCTCACTTTAGGAATTTCCCTTCTTTGCATAACAAGAACTTCTGTTGAACAGATTTCGTTTGCAGCTGGGAGTAGGGAAATTTCTAACCTTTCCTGAGGCTCATGAATTTGCACACACTAGTTGCTAATGTCTAAGCAATGGGATATATCTCTTGGGTACAATGGAGAATATGGGAAAAATCTGTGCTGAAAGACCAATCTCATTGCTTTCATGTGCCACTCAGCATCAAATACTGTGTGGCAGGCAGGCTGTAGAAATTGCAAGGATAAATAGAAGAGTTGGGGAAACTGAAGCTTCATTTAAAGGGTAAGTTGGTTATCTCAACAGGAGCTTGAGAGTCCTTAGTCCTAATAGCAGTGAATCACTTAGTAGATAAATGGTTCCTAAGATTGAGCCATCCACTAACTTCAGACTTGGCCTACCAGTCTTCACAGCTATCCTCAAATGATGGAATCTGTTTCTTACCATGGAGATTGTGGCTATTGACTACTGAGTTCTCGGCTGCCTGACCCTCTAAGCTGCTTGAACTTAGAATGTCTGTATCTAGCCCTTTCGCCTTCCATGATTGCCTCCCACCTCAGGGCTGTGAGCAGGTTATTGACTGGCTCTCTGAGTTGTGATAATTCCTTGTTTTCAGGCCCCCAGAGCTGCTTAGTATTAACCAGTGGGCTCTTCTCAAGATGGCACCAAGTCACAGACTTTTGAGACAAGAGGAGTGACAAAATGGACCTCCTCTCCACTACTGGCTCATCATTTAGGAGTCACTGTTTATCAAATTTAAAACTGGATTCAAGGCTTGGCAAGCATTGTGGACTTACCCTGTGTAAAGGACTGGCAGTTTCTTTTCTCTAGGACCACCTAGCTCACCTTTTGAATGAGGCTTCTGTTGCCTCTCTCACTGCCTAAACCTCCTGTGTGTTGCCTATCTCTGTTTGCCGCTTTGTCCTTCTGTTTCCCTGTGCTTTTCAGCCGCCCTATCACTTCCTTTGTGATTTCCAGTGCTCCTCTAGTTAATTCTCTTCTTGGAATAGAGTCTGTCCTTTGTTAACCTGACTTATTTCAATTACCTATCACATGAAGGCAACAGCTAATCCATTGTTTTACTGTAGATATCTCAGTTCTTTAGTTGGTGGAGGATAGAGCATCAGGAATTCATTTCTACCTCAGCTACATAGTGAATTTGAGACCAGCCTGGGCTACATAACACTGTAAATTATTTTTTTAATGTCCCGTCAAATTTTTCTCAGCTGTGTTGATCCTTAGGATATCTATATCTTTTATATGAAAAAATGTAAAATATTATCATAAATATACACATTTATTTTGCAGAAAAGGGTGCATGATTTGGAAATACAGTTAATTGCCATTGCAACAAGTGAACAGCGTTATTCAAAGCAGGTTGAAGATCTGAAAAAGGAGCTTGAAAAAGAGAAGTATGTTTTCCATATCCAGTTTAATTACTAAGCTTTGTGGTAATGCTATATTAGTAAATTATGTCCAATATTTACATGAATAGATTTGAAATTGCATGTTATTCCTAATTAAAGAACAGAATGAAAGCTAGTAATGGTGGTTCACACATGTAATACTAGAACTCTAGAGGCTGAGGCAAGAAAAGTATGCATTCAAGGGCTGGGCTATGGAGTGAGACCCTGTGTCAGAAAAAAAAAAATGATTTAGCAACTTGATAAAGGAAGTATGTATTACTTATATAAAAAGAATAAATAAAGTTAAATCATTTCAAATGACTATACAGCTATTCCTTGGTGTTCATGGTGGTTGGTTCCAGGGACCATGAAGGCACCAAAATCTGTAGATGATTGAGTCCTGGCATAGTATTTGCATATAACCTATGCATAACCTCTCATATTTTAACTCATCTCTCCAGCCCCCAATCTCTAGATTACTTATACTACTAAATACAATGTGTAAAGTCTACGTAAGCAGTTGTTATACTGTATTCAGGAAATAATGGCAAGGAAGAAAGGCTTTTTCTTGTTTTTTTGAGACAGGGTCTCCCTATAGCCCCAGCTGGCCTGGAATTCACTATGTAGACTGGCCTTGGTCTCACAGAGATCCATATTCCTCTGCCTCCCAAGAGCTGAGAAAATAGGCATGCACTGCTACTCTTGCTTAAGGAAGTTTTCCTAAGTAGTTCGAGTCTATTGTTGGGTAAGTCCATGAGTGTGTAATCACTAGATACAGAGTTATTAACTTATTTGGTTACATTATTTCATAAGTTTGTATTGATAAAATATCAACATGTAAATTTATTCCTAATATTATCTAAATAAAATATTCACTGAATGATTTCACTGTTTACCAAGTTTAGTTTGAAAATAATTACTGGTTTATCAAGTAAAAAGGATGAAACTCATGTTCTAGTCTCTGGTAAACCTGATAATTCCCTGTTGGTTGCTTCTCAGGTATAGAGAAAAAAAGAGAAGTAAATAGTTGAGTATGATGTCTAAATTCTGTAGTCCCAGTACTTGGGAGGATGATGCAAGAGGACTGATATGAGTTTGATGTCAGCCAGGGCAAAATCATGAGACTAGGCTAACCTTGGCTATAGTTTTTCCCTTTTATTGTAGCTGCCACCTCGTGCTTCTGGACTCTGTTCAACAGTCCTTTGTTTTGTTTTAGGAGTAGCTGTAATATTAGGTGTAATATTCATGTTTTAACTAAAATTTATTTACGGATGGAGTGGTTATTTATACTTTAGTATCAATTTATGTTACCCTTGATATATTTATTTTTAAATCTTTTCATTATTGAGAAAAAAATATTATATTCTCTTGTGAGTTCCCAGTATTATTAAGTAGAAGGAAGCAATAGATGGTCCTCAAATCAGTCAGTGGAGCGACATGCTGCACTGCATTTAAAATTGGTCCTGGCTGTAGCCAATAACAACAATAATTACTTTTTCAGTCTTTGAGACCTTGTTTGTTTGTTTGGTTGGTCTTTTTTGAGACACGATCTCCCAGGAGCCCCAGCAGACCTGGCAGGTACTCACTATGTAGACTATACTGGCTTCAATCTCACAAAGATCTGCCTGCGTCTGCCTCCCAAGTTCTAGGACTGAAGGCGATCCCCACCATGTTCAGCACAGCAGTCTTTGAAACCTTGTAAGAATAATTTAGTGTTGTGCACAAAGTTAAACATTATGCTAATGATTATTTTTTAATCACAAATGATTAATGCTTCATAGATTAGTCTAATCAAATTTTCGAAAGATTGAAACAATTTCTAAGAGGCTATTAGAGGCAAAATAATTATGTAAAGAAAATAACAAGCTTCAGATTTTGTAGAGAAGTATGAGAGAATGAGAGTGTGGGGAATATAAAAAGCAATATACTGTGTGACATTAAAAAGTTAATATGGAAACAATTTTAATATGTTTGAGGGAATATAATGTGATGAAGCAGTATGAACCTATAACTTCGCTTGAGGGATTAACTAATGACCATCCTTGCCCTTTCCTAACCCTAAGATTATACTTAATTATATGTTATGCATTGTCATTTGATATTTAAATATTTAATATGATATATTTTTTAAAATAGAGTGAAGAATATTGAATTTTCAATCTACAACAATCGTATACTTGAGAACAAAAAAATGGTAGAAGAAACAAGTGATATGACCCTAGAACTCAAGAAATGTCAGGAAAATGCTGAGGTGAGTTGACAAAGTTATCACTGACTTAGCGTTATTACATGCAAAATTAGAGAAAATAAAAATAGGTGAACTCCAAATATCCTTGTAGCTCTAAAAATTAGATTATCTTAGGGGTAAATTTTTTGGAGGAAAAATATGCATGTTATTCTTTTGTATGCTGACAATGGGCAACATAAAATAGGACTACCAACAGATAAAATTAATCTAGTTTTAAGGATTAAGATTTTTGTATTTAATAAAGTATTATTTAGTCAAAGGAGAGTCTATGGAAGATGTAATGGTGGATAAACATCATTTTTTGAAGAACATATGATTAGAAAAATAAATGTTTTAAATAACTTAGGTAAAATAATGTCATGTGTTAATGGAACAGTGTTATTGGAATTGACAAGTTCACTTCTGCTTTTTGGAAGAGAAGTCATTAGAGAACATAACATTGATTTTGGCCTTGAAAAGTAATTATGAATTTAGTAGGTAATGATTAATGAAACAATATGAACAAAGGATACAAACCTCAAAGCATCATTGGGAAATAATGCATGTTTTATTAGCTGCTATATAGAAATTTTGGGGATTATCATTAATACAAGTCTTGAAAGTAGAACTCCACAAATTAAGTAGCTTTTGCTCCTGATTTATGTATAACTAGATATTATGTTGATAAATGAAGGGTTTAAATATTCATTTCAGTTATAAATTTGTTGAAACAAAATAATATAGCATTAACTATGTCCTTAGACTCTCAAAATGCAAGAAGAAATGATGTTGAAGCAAATATACAGTTTGGAAGAAAAGGAAACAGATTTAAGGCAAGAATTTTGTCTCTTTGCCTCAAAAAATATTTTAGGGTTTCTCTTTTGTTGAATATTAGATACAGTAAAATTATTTGATTTAGGTTAATGTTATTTAATTATGATTAAATTTATATTTAGTATTGAAATAGTGAAATTAGATGAAAATCTTAAAACTTTTTTAACATCACAAAACATCTAATTTAAAAATTAATAAAATATACTAACCATATCTTAAAAGAAAATATTTTCAAAGTAACTTTTATTAACATAAACTATCATATGTTATTGGAATATTTATGTGCATTCCCTTTTTGAAAACATGTTTAGCCTGGCGTGGTGGTGCACGCCTTTAATCCCAGCACTTGGGAGGCAGAGACAGGCAGATCTCAGTGAGTTCAAGGCCAGTCTGGTCTACATAGTGAGTTCCACAACAGCTGGGGCTACAGGGAGACCTTGTCTCAAACAGACCGAAAAAAAAAAAAAAAAAAAAGGAAAGAAAATATGTTTGATTCTTGCTCATAATGAAATATTTTATATGATTCAAATGTAAAATTTTCCATTTAATATTGTAAGCACTTACGTTTTCAGGTTTTTTTCCCCATCACTTATTTTAATATCCATATACTAATTAAATAATGTTTAATAGTATTAACTATATTTATTTTTGAATATTTACATTGTTCAGTTTTCCACTATCATAAATACTTCTGATGTAAATATTTTGGCACATAGCATATTGTTTTCTTTCTTTTGAAACTGAGAGAATACATTTCAGTTAGTAGAATTCACTAATAATATTATAGATATAATGATTTCATTGACCTGATCATCAACTGGTTTCTGATTCGTTTAATCAATTGTAAACCATGAAATACAGGAACAATTGTGTGGAAACACAGACTCCAAATGTTTTAATTGTTATTCTGTATCATCACTAATTTATTGATAGCTTTAACCATAAAGAACTCCCTGTTTTTATAAATTGCAGTAGATACATTTCTGTTAAGCTCTGGAATATTTCAAAATTTATGAGCATTTTTTCTGTGTAAAATGTCTTCATATAGCCATACTTTTTGGTCTTTTAAGGGTTTTATTATTTCCTATTGACGGAAGCATATCCTTTATCATTTTCATTTATAGCATATATCTCTATAACCTGATGTATTATTTCTTGTCATATAGAAGTGTTTGAAGCTTTCTATTAACTTTGTCTTTTCCTTTTGAATTTTTATTTATATTTATATTTAATTGTGTGTATATGTGGGTCTTTGCACATAAGTATGGGTACCTGTAGAGACCAGAAGCATCTGATCCCCAATGAGCTGTAGTTACAGGTAGTTGTGAGCTTCCCCATGTGGTTGCTGGGACTTAAACCCAAGTCCTCTGGAAGAATAAGTGCTTTGAACCACTGAGCCATCTCTCCAGGCCATTCTTTGTTATTTCATAGCATTGATTTTATAGTTAATATTTTTTAACCTTCCTAAATTTGGATACCAGACATTTTTTGCTCCTCTAAAATGTGTGTACTGATACTTACTTTTCCCATTTCTTTTTTTGTAATTATTTTTATTTATATTTATTTTATCTGTATGAGTGTTTTGCCTGCATGTATGTGAATGCACCCATGTGGACAGTACCTACAGAAGCCAGAAGAGGGCGTTGGAGTCCCTAGAACTGGAGTTTTGGCAGTGATTAGCAGCCGTGTAATTGCTAGGAACCAAAATCAGGTCTTCTGCAAGAGCAATCAGCACTATTAACCACTGCGCCAACTCTTTATCCCCTCCTTTACCTATTTCTTTGAAAAATTATACAAATATTTAAATCCATCAATTTTCTTGCTAGCACAACTCAGAATTTATGGCATGATAACTGATTTGCAGTTTGTTCCCTTTATCCCTATCTGTTTGTCTCTTGAGTAAAATTTCACTGTATAGCTCTGGATAGCCTGGTACTTGCTATGTAGACCAGGCTGACCTTGAACTTTCAGTGATCCTGCTTCCCTCTGCCTTCTGGTTACTGGGATTGTAGGCATGAACCACCATGTTTGGCTTGAAAGGCTGTTTTACTGTTCATTATTTTATAAATCTCCACAACTCTGACTCCAGCCTCAGACCCATCCTGGGCATGGCTCCAGGCCTGGACCTGCAGTCTCCTGTCCATTTGGCAGTACTAGGCCAGCCACTCCTCATTTCACTAGCTCTAGCATACAGCATGCTCCAGCCTAGAGCTGCAGTGAAGCGTGGGTATCTCCATGGCCACTGCTGATCTCACAGAGCCATCTCTCAAGCTGTAGCCCTTAGATCCAGTCGCAATCTCAGTTACCTCATCAGCTGGTGTGTGCAGGCCAGGATGCAAAGTCACATCTTCCTGTTTTGTTTGTGTGTGTGTGTGTGTGTGTGTGTGTGTGTGTGTGTGTTTTAAGCTTTTTTAAAATCTATTGAGAGTCAAATATTGGGGGAGAGGTCTTGGTTATATTTCCATTGAAATTTGGTTTCTTATTTAAAGAATGTGCTTTTGAAAATTTCCTATTTAATATTAGTTGATATATGTAGACCCAATATAGCTCTTCATAGAATTATCTGAAGATTGTTGAGATACTGTGAATAAAATGATAAGTACATTGGCTGATACAAAGTCAGTCCTTAATTATTAGCTGTTACTAATTTCCAGATTTGGAATGACATCTTTTACTACTATGACTGATTTTTTTCTTTTTTGCTAAACTTCCTTCTTCAGAAGCAGGTATTGTTTATAGATTTATTATCTATAATTAAACATTGTATATTTTCAGGATAAAATGTGAAGATATATTTTGAAAAGAAGATTTTTATGATTCAATTAAAAATCATTTATTTAGTTTGAGACAGTGTCATGCTATGTAGCTCAGGCTTGCCTCGAATATTTGATCTTTCTGTTTCAGTTTCCTGATTGCTGTGATTATAGGTGTGTATAGCCACACCCACTTCACAAAAACCTGTGTGTGTGTGTGCTCCTGAGTGTATGAGTGTACATCCACATGTGGACATGGTTGTAAGGAAGCTAGAGAACAATTTCAGGTGTGGTTTTTCAGGCACTATCCACCTTTTCCTTTTCTTCTTTTTTTTTTTTAAAGACAGGGTCTCTCATTGGCTTGGAATTTGTCAAGTAGATTAGACTTGTCAGCCAGTGAGCCTCAGGTATCTGCCTGTCTCTGTTTCCCTAGTACTTGTATTATAAACATACCCCACTAGTCTATGCTCTCTTACAAGTAAGTTCTAGGGTTCAAATTCAGGTCCTCATTCTTGCAAGGCAAGCATTTTATCAGCTGAGCTATCTCCCAGCCTCAAGTGCTATTTATAAAAGAACATTCAAATTATCTGAACTATATTTCCTAAATATCTACCTACCATAGGGATTTATAAAACTCTAAGTTTGAATATTTATGAACAATAAACATACTCATTATAAATTTGTGCTCAGGTAAAGAATAAAACTTGTAAGATGGTTCAGTGGGTAAAGGAGCTTGAGTTCAATGCTTGGAACCCACATGGTTAAAGGTCAAGATTTTCCCTGACCTCCACACATGTGCTATTGTATAAATAAATGAGCACATGTAAATTTTAAAAATTGTCCTAGATTGGATTTTTTTAAAGGTCAAAATACTGAATATGTTACCAACATAGTATTGGTACCAAGGGAATCTACAATTCAAAAAATAGCTTTATGTATTCATTTTAAAAATCGCCAGTATGTTCATCTGCTATGGACAAGATTTTTTGTTTATTTGTTTCTGATATAGTCTCCCTGTAGTCCCACCTGGCCTGGAACTCACTATGTAGACCAGGTTGGCCTTGATCTCATAGAGATCTTCCTGTCTCTGCCTTCTGAGTGCTGGTATTAAAGCCATGAAGCATCATGTCTTGTAATACAGAAGGTTTTAATTAATGGACAAAGTAGCACATGGGGAAGAACCATATTTCTTTTCTTTTACCTTAAGTTTATGTTTTTCAGTTTCTTTCCCAAAAGCATCACTGTTACTTAGGAATGTTTCTGGAGAGTCTGTGATCATATACAAAGATATAAGTGTATGTAAATATCATTAAAATAAATTGTATTTTTGTTTTTAATTTATTTATGTAATATTTTGAATATGTATTGGAATGATTAATTCATGGCTAAACATTTATATGAAAACTTGAATGAAATGTTTTCATGATTTTTCTAAAAATAGGAAAATGATAAAGATTAATGTAATTTAAAAATTAATATGTACATAAACTTAAATGTGGGAGTAGAAATATGTCTATGGATAGCAATTCATGAAAATTCACCAAACAAAATGTAAGCTAAACCAATGAAATTATTAAGCAACTATTAATAAATTTCAGAAAGTAGATGAAAATATGATTTTGATTATGATGTCATGCTTGCATTTCCTTTTAGGAATGAACTGGAATCTACAGGCAAAGAGCTAATACAGAAAGAATTAATTTTAAAGGAAACTGGACAAGAGTGATGAAGATGTACATTACATTTAACAATAGATTGAATTCAAAATTTCAAATAATAAAAGCAATAAAGACATAAAGTTACATATAGTATTGTATGAGTAACTGGTGATTTAGGTACTATAATAGCCATCCATCAACCTTAGACATATGTGTTAAATTAAGTTATTTTGCTTACATGATTATCTTTGTACGAACTATTTCATATAATTCTAAGCATATCTAAAATGTTCAGTATTTACTGCTGTTTTGTACTTCTAGGCTAAATAAAAGGCTCATGGTATAATGATATTAATCTACTGAAGAGTTTCTTTTGTACCTTGAAGAATATGGTTTCAACAAGTTGAAATAGAAATGTCACAAAACTTGGATTGTATAAAGTTTGTGACATGATTATACAGTATAGTATATATAGAAGGAGAGTGGGAGGGAGAAATACAATGTAGAAATACAATGTTTTATTTTGAAGGCTTTGTGTTCCTCCACTCATTCAACAAATGCTATGTAATACCCGTGTGCCAGGCATTATTCCAGGTGCAGAGTTTAGTTTTTTTTATTTTGGTGGAATGTAGTAATCTACATTTTTCTTAGGGATATGATGTCTATTAATATTTGGGAATGGAATGTGGAGAGATGAAAGATACTGAAATTATTTACAAGGATACTTAGAAGTCTTAAAAGCTCTGAAAAAAATGAAATTGCTGGCCTAGTTCAGTTTATTTATTATTTTTAGCCAATAATTTTGGCTAGGGGATAATTTTTCCAGGATTGAACTGCATGCTCTTTCCTTGAGACAAGATTATCCTTAACTGAACAGAATTGCAATGGAATTTACAGTAAAGCCATCCCTTGCAAGAAGAGTGCTGCCAGACTGAAATATTGGTCCTCTCTCTACATGGATGCTATTGGAGCCCATAGAAAAGACATCTAATCCAAACTTAAGTTAGGAAAAGCTTCCTGGAAGAAAAGACATTCAGCTCACTTAGATTAAAAAGGTATTAGTAGAAGCAAAAAGCCATAGATGTGGGAAGGCCTGAAAGTATGAGATCCTATGACACATTTAAGCAAGTAACATTTATTGTGGATTGTGGCTGAAAGAGGGGGTTTCAGACAGTAGTACGGGGTTTAAGAGAGTAGTAGGGTAAAGATGAAGATGGGTAGAGATAAAAGTGGAGAGATGAGAGTAGAGAAAGATCATGGTGGATCATTTAAAGCCATGGTATTGGGTAGGTGTCTTCCGAAAAGCTAGAACTGAACAGGGCTTTGTTTAGAAACCTACACTGAGAGATGGTGAGAGTACTGGGATAATGGGAGGACCCATTACCATTTTGGAAACGGAGCCAAAAACTGGAGAAGACAGCATGTGAAAAACCAATGAAGACTGTGGGTGGGACATACATGTTTCAAATACAGAAAAGAAAAAGCCTATGAGAATTTATGCCTTTGTAAGTCACCCCCTCCATGATGACATAAACTATGCAAAACCCAAAGAGAAGGTAGTCTGCTGGTTTTGTCAGCCTTGAAAACTCAGAGGGCGTGGGTGCACACAGGTCTTCCAAGAAGGGGGAGGTGAATCTGGGGAAAGAAATTGGGGCAGCTAACAAGATGATGCTGGATACAGCAAACTGCAGAAGCTCAGGAAAAGCAATGGGGTTAGCAGCAGTCATATGGTTATACAATGGATTGCAAAATGACGCAGGCCATGCAGACACAAAGGGGAAACCCCTGGGTTGCTGCCATCTTGTGAATGTGGGAAAATAGCTTAGTTGCTTTAGAAATGGGGGCCACCACCACATTTGTCTGAAATTTCTTTAAGGATTGCAGAGAGCTTAGAAAAAAATTACAAGCCTTGGATGCAAGAGGGGAATCCAGAGAGATGGCCTGGCCACTTCTTTGCATAATTAAAGGTTGGTCCATGCAAAGGCAAAGGCCCAAGTGGAGACAGAAAAGACTAAAGAGTTCCTGGCAAATTCAGTCTCAGCCTCAGAGCTTGAGAGAGGAAATATAATGGGAGATTTTAACTTGCTTAAGTTCAGGGGACCGAGAGTCAAAGGACCCAGAGAAAAAGACAGTAATAAGAAAAGAAATGACTTAAAAATGAAAGTAGCTAAAGCTGCCCTTCAATTTCAACCTCTGATAGAAAAAGAAAAATGTTAACAATGCTGTACCCAGAAGAAAATTCTCCACACTGGAACTCTCAGGACTAGGAAAGACTTTCAAGAGAAGCAATTAAAGAGCCCCTCACTATGTGGCTTGTGAGGGTATAGGTCATGGAAGCAAATCATGTCATAAACTAGACAAAACCCAAATAGAAAGTTTTCTGTCAGTTTTTTCAGCCCTGGGACCTCAGAGGTCATGGGCACTCAGGTCTCCCAAGAAGGAGGAGAGGAATTTGGTGAAACACGGTAATATACATTTAGGAGTTATTGAAGAGCTTTGACTTGAGAATTCTTATATTGACTCTTTGGAAATCTGTAAGATTGTAGGCTTAGAATGGAGCAGACACATTCCAGGTTCTTTCTATTACTTATTTTACTTAACCGCATTTTAAGTATTGGGGGCAAAGGAGATGTCTCATTTGGTAAAATGCTTTCCATGCAAGCATGACAAACCAAGTCCAGATCTCCAGCACCAGGACAGAAGTTGGGCATAGTGGCTCATGTCTGTAATCTGAGCCTGGGAGAGGTGGAGACAAGCACATCCCTGGAGCTTATTGGCTAACCAGCCTAACATAATCAATGAACTCCAAGAACAGTGAGAGATCTTACCTCAAAACCTAAGATGGAAAGTGATTGATAAAGGTGCTTAATGCCAATCTCTGGCCTCCACATACATGCTTACATGTGAATGCACACAAGAATGTATATAAATTGTACACACATGACATAATGGATTCAAAATATAATTTATTTTGTTAATGTAGGAGATATTAATATAAGGAGCTAAATGAAATATATAATGGATATAGTATCTTACTTTTGTTTTACAAGGTTGGATTTCACTTTACCTATTACAACAGTTTCCAGAAGGAGTTCAAGTTATAAATATTTTTGAGACAATTTGCCTGACATTCAATTGAATTAAATTTTCCCCCAGTTTATTTCCTTAGTTCAGATATTTATTTCATAGATGCTTTACGTATCTGAGCTTCAGTTTCCTCAACAGTAAAGCTTAAGTAATAATACCTATTCTTTCTATTTTACTGAGTTGTCTTAATCTTCAGATACATGTTTTTAAAAGGATATATTTAAGACATAAAGATTTATGTAAAAGATAACTTACAGAAATCCAATATAAACTCTGAAAGCTCATAAAATATTGAAAAATTACTTTGCATTCAGATAAGAAATAGAAAGATTAACAAAAACATTAAAATTAAAATGATTTATTTCTAATTGACAAAAATGTTGTATATGATATGCCAAGTAATATTTTCATGTTTATACATTGAAAAATATTAAATCCTAAAATATACAAGAAAAAATAAAATTTTGTTAGCATTTTGAATCTGATTTTTTTAGACCAAAAATATTAAATGTGAAATTCTAAGAAAAGATAATCAAATGAAGTTATTGGAAAATAAGGTATTTTCTAATTATTAATGTTTTGGAATAAGAAATTTATCAATATATATGTGTGACTGGATTCTGAAGGACAAGCCTTTCTATTATTCTGTACAAAGAAGTCTCAATTCTCCTTAGGTTTTGTGTAATAATATAATCACTGGTTTTTATTAGACCTTCAAAGAGCAAATTTTCATTAAACTATATTAACTTTCTGTTTTCTTCTTTAAAATTTCATACTCTAAGCAGCCTCAATAATTGTGGATGTACATAAAATGATATACTTTTACAAATCATTCTTAGGCCTCTTTTCCATTTTTAAAATTGAGCTGCAGAAAAATCTCTGTTCTCTTTATGTGAAGTTGTTTTTACTTGCCTGGATACCCATTCTAATATTTTCCTTCCGTTATCTCACTACACACTTGCTGTAAATCTAATCTTGCATGTAATGAGCAGTACTACGGAAAGCCTAGTTCACTTCCTAGAGTTCTGAACCCTAATGAATAACCAACACTGTTTCTTCTCTCTGAGGATTCTGTTAAATAAAACTTTTTGTTTCTATGAACATTTAGTAAGAAAGCTTATTCTGAGGATCTAAGCAGATTTCTACCAAAAGTAAAAATTCTCGATATATTTTAATAAATAAAAGTTCCATGTAAAAATAATTTCTCCTGCTAATGTTTTTATGCCTATCAAATCAGGGTAAAAATCAGTAAATGCTACTTGTTTTTCTATAGCTGTGCTTAACTTTTGCCTGAACTTTCTCAGAGACCATCTTGGACTTCGGAAATAAAAAAGCTTAAATAAATCATTTATAGGCAGGCATAGTGGTGCGTGCCTGTATTCTCAGCTCTCAGAAGACCAAGATAGGAAGATTGTAGTTCTAAGTAATCTTGGGTATATAGTGAGATACTTTCTCAAAAATGTTACTTGTAAACAGAAAAGGCAGTATCATATAGAATTAATTTATATTCAAAATATATACCATAGCCATGTGTGACTATTGCAGGAAAACCATTTTACAAAGTATTTGTGCTCATGAAGATTGTTTTTTTTCTCTTGAGAGTTATTTTACTTTAATGACAATTACAACAATGTACATACCTGCGATATTTTAGGGCTCATTAAAAATCTGCGCTGCTTTTATGATACTTAAGGTGTTTCTTGAACTAATGCATTTTGATTTAGCTCTCTATATACCCAAATGGAATAATAACACAAAACAAGATATTAAAATAATTTAGTTGGCACTTTAGTAAGAGGAATTGGAATTCTTTTAGGACTATGCTATTCTTTCATATCATTCTTTTCTCCCTAATATAATAACATAAGAATCTCAGAAAGGAGAAAGGGAGAATGGCGAATAATGAAGAAAACAAATTATATTCTGACTTCTGCTATTGTTTTTCTCAGTCTGTCTAATAATATGTCTCATCTTTCTGAATAAGGTTGAACAAGAGGACCGGTTTTCTTAAAATAGTTGGATTCATGTTTATTAAGATTAAGAAATTTATGAATGTCAACTTTATTAAAACATATATTTTTATACTAACAGAATGAAATCATAAATAGGTTTCATGTCACATCATACAATATTTGATTAGTCTAAAATTGTCTATTTTGACCAGAATATTGAGGAAAATAGTTTAATTTTTCATACTTTTGCAGTATAATAGTTTAAGGAAACAATATAAAAATAAAATCAAGTATGTTGAAGAGCTTCACAAAGAGGTAAGTTTTCTTTATAATATAAATATTCTTTAAAAAATATTTTATTTATTAATTTTTTATGTGTATGTGTGTATTGCCTGCATGTAGGTAAGTGGACCTGTGTTGTACAATGCCTGCGGAGGACAGAAGATGCTGTCAGATCCCCTGGGACTGGAGTTACAGACAATTGTTAGCTGTCATGTGGGTGCTGGGATTCAAACCCAGGTCTTCTTCAAGAACAACCAGTGTTCGTAACTGCTCAGCCATCTCTCCAGACTCCAATATATAATATAAATATTCTTAAACTCAGACTAAATTTCACTATAGTTTTAGAAAGCCTTGCTTCCGTTTCTAGCCTGTTAAATATAATTCAGTGGCAGTATGTCTCTTAAAATATAATTTTACTCTTCAAGAACTTCTTACATTGCCTTTTGATCACATTCACCTCTAATTCTCCCCCTTACTCATTCCACATCCACCCATCTACCTACCCCACAACTATTTGTTCTCCTTTTTCTTAATATCTCTTTGAATCCAACTTGTGTTGTTTGTATACTCTTAGGTGTGGGGCCAGCTACTGGACAATGGACCTGCTAGGGGCCATACCCATATAGAAAACTGAATGTCCCTCCTCTACCAATTGTGCATAGCTCCATATTTTGGGGTGGAGGCTCACGAACCCTTTCCAAGTCTGTGCTAGAATGTTGTCTGGCTTTATCTTGATCTTGTGCAGGCCCTGTGCAGGCTGCCACACCTACTGTGAGTTCATTAGTGCAGCAGTTCCTGTCACATCTAGAAGACACTTTCACTTCTGTCCTGTCTAAACTTTGTCTCTGTAATCTTTCAGCTCCTCTTTCCATGATGGCTCCAGAGCTGTTCAAGGGTGGGGTGTGATATAGACGTTCCCATTTTAGATGTGCATTCTACATACAATTATTCTCTGTAGTTTGAGCAGCTGTTAGTTTCTTTGTTAAGCACCATCTACTACACAAAGAAAATTCTCTGATGGGGTCTGAGACTTGTACTAATCTATGGGTAGAAAGATACAAATCTCTTAAAGAATTCAGTACTAAAGGTAATTATTTCTAACCTTTAATAGAATAAGGCTTTAAAAAACATGAATTCAGCAGAAAGCAAGCACGTGAGTGCTTTTGAGATAAAGGTGTCTGAAATTTTTACTTTTGTTTTCTTAAACACTAGTGGATACATGATAATTTGGAAATATTTCACAATTTATAACAGTTAAATTCAAAGATTATATTTTTGGATTGAAGCAATCAATATTTGTGTTAAAATGTTTAATTGTGATTAAACTAGGTAGAATCATGTGAAAAACTTAAAATATGTGTGTGAATCTATGTGTGTTTTTTTTTAAAAAATGTCTTACTCATGTATTGAAAGGGAACTAAGCTCGGAATACGCTTTTTTAAAAAGCTCCAAATATAAATATACTTCTGGACAAAGGGTTTAAGAGTTATAAACTTTGTAGAAAATAAAGCTCTAGAATAAAAGCTTATGATGTAAGGGCCAAATTTTGTTATCTTTCTCCTAAGTGTTTAGACAATGATTGATATGTAGGAAGTGCTTAATAAATAGATTTTGAATATTTAGTGGAAAGTAGCAGTTCTCAGCATATGAAGATAACAAAAAGGAACCCATAAACATTTTTGAAATATTGTTTAAAATAAGAAACATAAATACTATGGTTAAAATGAAGGCAAATAAGAATTCTCACAAATTTCTAAGATTATAAAGAAAAGTAAGCAATAGATACATTCTATAGTTATGTACCTGAACTCCTCAAAATAGGAGAAATGTACAGAAATAGTTATAGCTATATTATTTACAATACCCCAAATTTAAGACAATACAGATGTCTATTAATAAGAAAGTCAATTAACAAATGACCCTATGATAACTTTAAAGTTGAATTTTTAGCTAAAAAAAAAGAATGTCTTACATAACAGACATTCTTATGGTCCTAGCAATACATTTAAAAAATGACAAGTTTACAGCTGAAGAGATGGCTCAGATGGTTCTTACAGGAGACCTGAGTTTGGTTCCCAGAACCCACATGGCTGTTAAGAACCATCCTTAATTCCAGTTCCTGGGGATCTGACACATTCATCTAGTTCCCATGGGCATTGCACACACACACACACACACACACACACACACACACACACGGTGCACTTACATACATGCATGCAAAACACCAAACACATCAACTAAAACTAAATTTAAAAATTTAACAATGAATAAATTATTGGTAGAATTAAAAGTGTGTAAATAGAACTTAGGTTGAGAATCATAAAGATTTTCAAAAACAATAGTGCCTTAAAAGCTGTAGGACAGCATCAAGTGATTTAAAATGCATAATTTGAATCCTTGAGGAAGAGGAGGAAAGTGAAGGAGAGAGAAATTATTTGAGACATTACTGAATTTTCTTGTTTTAAAAACATTTATGTTTTGGCATTTTCAAACATGTATATAATACATTCTTGTCAGGCTTACCCCTCTACCTTAGCTCTTCACACCTCCACCAGCCCCCTCTTCCCATCAAATTCCCCATGTCCTTAAATATTGTTTTGTTTTGTTTTTGCTTTTGCTTTTGTGACCCACTGGGTTTATTCAGTGTGTTTGAGCATGGATGTGAAGCTATGCCCTAAAGCATGAGTAACTCAGCAGTGACTGCATAACAAATTTCTTGTTATTGATAAAAACATAAACTTGACCATCAGCAAGCTCAAAGAAAGATGACTGGAAACAGAATTATATTTAGTTAAGCATATCATTGTTAAAGTGCTAAACAAAAGATGAAGAGAAACATAAAATCACAGAGAAAAATGTCACACTCTAGAACTATGACACTAATAATGACTGACCTTGTATCACAGTCACAAAACTATACCAAAAAGAAATGACATTTGTAAAATACTGAAAGAAGTTAGCTGCCACCATAACATTTTATACACAGAAAAATACCTATGTAAAATTAAATTGAGATAACATCCAGAAATGCTAAAGAAATTTCCTTAGGTTGCAGTAAAGTGACATCAAGAAGAAATGCAGATCAGTAGAAGAAATGAAAAACATTGGACATGGTAAATATATACAAGAATATAACAGGCTTTATATATTACTTTTCCCCTTAATTTTTAAGTAGGTACATATTGCTGCTTAAATTTTTTTAAAAGTTGAAATTTTTAAAATTAGGCATTACAGAATTTGTAAGCTCTATTAAAAACCATAGCACAAGTTATAGGATAGTGTGGTCCAAATTCCCTCTGGGTCTCCTGACTGGTCAGACAAACCATACAATATATTTTATGTGAGTTTATTTACTTACAAAGGAATGAGTACCCAGTGCCTAGCCCTGTGACTCAGAACCTGCCTTATTACACCGTGCCATGCCCATAGCCTGTCTAGCATTCATTCACGCCTCTGGGGCCAGCAATCTCAACCCAGGTCCACAGGGAGTCAGTCCATTCTATCTTTGAGTTGCTCCGCTGGCTGCGAGTTTCCTACACCATCGCGCTCTACCAGCGGCTCCTGTCTTCCATCCCAGGATGGCTCCCAGCTTCCTCGCCTACTTCCCACTCATGTCAGGCCCCACCCACTGGAGGAACCAGCCAATCAGGAGACACTCCACCCCTTTCCTCCACTCTTACAATCTTTCCGCCAATCTTCTGCTAAAGTCCCTGAGCCTTGGAGGGGGTGATAGATGTAAGGTGATCTCTCTTGTATCATGGTGAGATAGTGGCTTCTTGGGCTTCCCCATTAGTCATCTTTAGGCCATGTCCACTGATCTTTCTCAGTGCTGTTTTTTCCTACTATAAAGACAAATGAAAGGAAGTAGACACATTTAAATAAACATGAATGTAAATACAAATGCTTAGACAATATCCTAGTAGGTGTACTATACTCATTAAACAATATACTTATGATGGCTTCTCCACTAGGGCCTGTAACCTTTCTTGACAAAAGGCGTTGGCCTGGTCTACAGCACCAGATGTGTGTTCCACCCCTAGGACCGGGTCTTATCCAATTAGAAATTTATCAGTTGTACATATGTGGTCGAGCCATTATTGTACTTGCAGGTATTGCTTGGCATGTCTGATGTGTGCAGCATGCAGGGTCCATCATTGAGCAGACTTATAGGGGATCCTTTCTTCCCCAACCATCTGTATAGAGCCTTCTGGCAATATGAACATCATCCATCCAATGGCACAGAGTTTTTTTGGCTTAGTCTCAGTTCCATCTCTTCTTCTCCCACACTCACAACATGCAGTGTCCTCAGCAACATGGCCTTACTGACCTTTCTAGTGTACAACTGGCATTAATGGCAATAGACTTGGTGAAATGGAGGGCCTCAATTGTCTCTCTCTGACCAACAGCTCATGGAGGGGGGGGGAGAACCCACCCCCAGTACTGTAAGTTTTCTTAACAGTTGTCTATAGCTTACCTTTGCTTCTTCGGGTATCTTTCAAATGTGTTTCACATCTGTAAAACATTCAAAGGAACATTACCATTAAATATTAAATAACTCATAGACAAGGTCTCATAAAGCTTGGAAAGGTTTTGTCCATTTGTATTAACTCTTTTCTCCATAGATCCTTGTTAGGTACCATAGCATGGGTATGAGGCATTAATTTGGTTAGCTCATTACCATTTTTAGTTATCACTTTGGATTCTTTTATTCTTGATATACTTACAAGTTTTGGCTCCAGTTGCCCTACCCTGCACTGGGCTAAGGAGGCAGGGGGATTCTCCTATTCCCTCTGTACTTGTTGGTTCCCTGAGTCAGACAGGCTCTGGGTCTGCTTCCTGACTGTAGCCACATCTGTCATCTTCCCATTGACCATATCAGGTTGCTGGTGGAGAACTTGTTGGGAAAACCTGCTTGCACCCCTAGTATAGCCTTTATCAGAAGAGAAATGCATCTTATTTAATCATTGGGGGTTCTTAACCACCCCTTGTCAGTTGTTATCCTTCGAATGTCTTTTGTAAACTGTTCTTCTGGTTTTAAAGCCTTCCAGAAATGCCTTAGTACTGAATTTGGTTTTCTATAATTTTTTTTTTCTGGGGATCATTTGTCTTTGAGTAACCCAAATGGACCATTTCTTCTGTCTTGTCTTTTTTATATCTCTTGTAAGGTGTTCTGTTATTCTACAGACATGTTTTACATGTTGGTCAGAGTCAGTTAGATCTGCTAAAGCCTCTCTCACTTTACAAAGATCCTGTCCCATCAAAGGGCTTAGCAAAACCATTAAAACTCCATACCATTCTTGAGGTCCCAGTTGAATTAAGCTTTCTTTCATATCTCTGGTGAACACAGTCTCATCTGGCTCAGTGAACTGGACATCGTATATTGCTTTTCTCATACCTAGTTCTCTCAGTGATGCCTGCCCCTCCTTTATAGTCCTCCAGCCCCTGGTAATCATGTTAGTCTCTCTTGGTGACAACCATGTATCCTTAATGCCTTCATCCAGCCATCCCATTACGGACTGCTCCCCCCTTCATTGGACTACGCTGAACAGCCTATATCGTAAGGACGGATGGGTGGTTATATAACTCAGCTGTGAAGCTTCTGAAGGACTTAGACCGACATCATTTGCTCACATGTCCCATACTCTCACAAGCCACGTGGCCAGGGGCTCTCTGCTCACTTGCTTGTAAGTTTTTCCTAGCTTTAACACTTCCAGCACGGAATATTTCCTAGCTATAGTATAGTTAGCTTTTTCTGCCTTTTTACTATTACCTGTCTTTTTCTCTGAGTCCTTGAACTTTACACAAGTCCAAGTGTCCTGCCTTTCCTCTGTCTCCAGCTCTGCACCTGGTCTTCCTTTTCTGCTTCCCCCTCCTGGGGCACATCTTTTATCATGCAAAGTGACTGTTCTATTTTTCTGGGATCTCCCTTTGGGTCCACAGCAGATAAAAGATCTAACTTTTGGGTAACTTTTAACAAATCTTCACATACCTGCAACATATCCTCACATTTACAACATAGCTGTGGACCACGCTTTTGCGTGGCTGTCCTGTTTTTAGTAACCCATTGCAAAAACCACATCAGCACCGCCATTAGCATTCTACTAAAACTCATTCTCAGTTTCATCATATCCTGCCAGACTACACCAATTCTGTGGCCCAAATTCTCTCTGGGTCTCCTGCATGGTCAGACAAACCATATAACATATTTTATGTGAGTTTATTAACTTACAAAGGAATGAGTACCCAGTGCCTACC